AACGATCTGCCATTTGCAAAGTTATATTAGTAACTTTTAATTCCCCCATATTAAGTTTAGCGCAGACAAACGATGGCATGACCGACACTAGCACCCAAATCACACAAATCTTTATCAATAAAAACATTCCCAATATGACAAGAGATAGAAAAACTACCGGGATAATTTAATTTAGGATGGGATTTGTTTTGCAATAAAGCGCTACACTCCTCTGTGAAAGCTACAATTTCTACTTCATTAAAGGCCCTTTTCCTATTTAGAGTGTCTTTCATAAATTTAGCATAAGCAGGAACTTGAGTGATTAAGTTAGTAAAAGGAACTGTTACCTGCAGGTTTTTCACAACCTCTAAAAACTTACCGAATTTTTTATCAAACTTACTCTTCAGTTGTCTATTAGGGAATGGAAGTTTGATAACCGGGCTCTGCACATCTCCTCCCTTATCCTGCGATTTACCCTGCACAGAAACATTACTAGAGTTAGTATCTATTTGTAGCCCTGCAGGGCTAGCAGGATTAGCGTTTGGTATAGAGGAATCTAGATAAGGAACTGGTCTATCGTTCTTTGGCATAGGAGGTCCATCATAATGTAAACCACTCCTTAGAGTGATTGCATTGGCATGATCTGTAGGATGGATAGGTTGTGATGGTAGAGCTCCCTGCTGACGGGATTGTAGGGTAGATGAAAGTTGTGCAATTTGATTGTCCATGATTTTATTATGGGATATGATAGAATCAATTTGCGCGTCCCTACTCTCCATGTGCTTTTGCATATTGGAAAGTATTGCTCTAATTTCTATCATGGCAGGGTCGGAAGATGATGAGGGTGATGTTTGGCTTTTTCTGGCCGGAATTAGGATGATAATATTTTTTCTGTGGTGGGGATTGCTGTTGTGGTTGCTACGAAGGTGGAGGGTTTTGAACATTGGTGCTCCGGTATGAAAGATAAGGATGATTTTTGTAACTGGCATTGTAGGAATTGGAATAGGGGTTATTCTTCCTATAGGTTTGAAAGGCATTAACTTGTTCCATAGAGCTCCTACAATCTTGCTCCCAATGACCTACAATTCCACAATTTTCAAAAAAAAGCTTCATTGTTAGTAACAGCAGAAACATTAGCTACAGAGTTAGGAGCAGCAGTAAGATATCTAATTTTTAACAAATAGACGTTAATTGAACTTGCAAAAAGGATACAAAATCGACATTATGTTTTCCTTTATTTGCAAACCCTCTCGGATTCACATATTGGGAATTGTGTATTGTCATGTCTTCGATAACCTGTCCTGCATCATCCACATTAAAATTCATGAACCTCCCACTAGCTGCAGAATCTAGTACTGATCTAGAAGAATTTCCAATACCATTATAGAATGCTTGGATCAATTCCCATTGTGCTAGATTATGGTGGGGGCACTCTCTCTGTAGATCCTTGAACCTCTCCCAAACCTCATATAACGTTTCGTCGGCCTCTTGAGCGAAGTTCTGAATAGCACTCCTTAGCACCGCTGTTCTCTCTACAGGATAGTATTTATTATAGAAATTCAAAGCAAGAGTTTCCCAATCAGTAATACCAAGTGCAGTTCTATTCAAACCATTAAACCATAATTTATCTTTGCCACATAATGAAAAAGGAAAAAGAATCTCCCTGATTTGGTCTTGCGTGACCCCGACTTGTCTAATGGTGTTACAATATTGGCAGAAATCTGCGATGTGAAGATTAGGATCTTCACCCTTAGCTCCACTGAATTGCTTCCTCTCTATCATAGTGATAAATTGGGGCTTGATCTCAAATTAAACTCCATCTAGAGCCGGAGTGGGAGTAAGGTGCGGGAAATTTGTGAGCTTCGGTTGCGAGTAGTCATTGAGTTTCTTCTAGGCCATCGTCTCTAATTCTAAATCTAAAGGAATATATGTGTCACTAGAATCAGAGGGAGGGTCTCTTCGACTGTTGTCCTCCTCAGAACCCGCCAGAATTTGTCTATAGAATTTCCTTTGCCTATGAAAAGAGCGCTCGATGTCAGTGTGGAATGGGATATAACCTGATCTGGAACACTAGAGCATAAACAAAGAACTAAAAGACAAATATGAGAATTGCCTCAAAGAACTAACGTTCTCTGAGGCAAAAGAGGATAATCTAGACTACAAAAAAAATATAATCAGAAAAAAAAAATAAAACCGTTTCCCCGGCAACGGCGCCAAAATTTGACAGGGTAAAGTCGTATCCCCTAATCAAAAATAATTATCTAAGTCCTCTAACTAAAGTAGATAGGGAAGTAGGGTCGAACTCCACAGGGAAAAAGGTCTTTCTATTCCTAATTAATTATTATTATAGTCTAAATATCTAAGTAACCAATATTTTTGTGAATAAAATCTAAATTACGGAGAATAAGGTCGAAAGGAATAAAGTAGGGAGAAAATAAAATATTAAAAGGCCTAGGGCATAGGTTCACTAATAAACAATATTCCAGGGAAAATCATAATAAGCAATTATCAAGCATTGGTTAATCAGATTATAAAGGGCTTTCGCTACGTATTATAATAACAGAGTTAATTTACCGGTATTAAATCTCATTTGTAGAATCTTGACTTAACTATTTATAAATTAATCCGCCTATTGAAACTAAGCCTAAACATCAATTCTCATCTGTCGAATCTCAAATTAATATTGCTAAACTCATACAATTAAATCTGTCCAAACCTAATTGCATAGCATTAAATCAATCAATAGGAAATCAACCAAGCATTGATAATTGACAATAAAAAAATTACCTCTTCATATCATTTATTAGATCCCCATAAACCGTAGAAATAAAACTACCCACACATAATCATAACTAAACTAATCAAATAAATAAATAAAAGCATAATCAAAGAAGTAAGTAAAATAGCTGGAATTAAAAGAGAAGAAATTGTTACCAAAAAGAAATCTGGAATTAATGGAAAAATTAAGAACAAAAGTTGAGAGTGAATTTAAGAGAAAGTAATACTCTAAGTAGTGAGAGAAAGTCTAAGAAAGAAGGTAATCAAAATTCCGTACAAATCTCGTACATAAAAGTTTCCGAAAACAAGAATTAAAACTAAACTTAATCAGGCTCCATAAAAACACGCGCCCAATCGGGCCCGCCTTTTCCTTCGCGTTCCTTCTCCGCAGCATCGCCTGATCGTGCTAGACGCTCGCACGATCGGGCGCGCTATAAGCACGCACAGCACCAACGTCGCGCCACGCCCGATCGTGCAACCTCTTGCCCAATCGGGCCCTTGCTCCACTTTGAGGCTCAGACTTTGATTGGGCTTCATTTCTCGGCCCAAATACCTCGGGATCCCAATTACCGAGCCCTTAATCACCGGCTCGATGACTCTAACCGGCCTTGGGCTTCAAAGATGGTCGTGCACTTCTAATTCCTGTAGTCGCTCCATGAAAAACCCGAGAAAATGCTCCAAAGGCGCAATTTCCTACAAAACTAAACAAAGACTACGAAAACACTAGAAAACACAAATTAGTAATACAAGTGGCTCGAAAGAGCCAAAAACACTACTAATTATGACCAAGGGACGGGGGTAAATTACTAAATAAAATGGACATATCAGTAGCCTCCGAGGACTCTTCTTCTACCTCGAATTCGGAGGGAGGGGATGTTGGGGCTTCTCCCCACCTAGGTTTTACTTATCTCACCTTGGTCTAACTAGCCAGGGGAAGGCTTTACATACTCTACAAATTGATGGCTCTTGGTTTCAAGAATCTCAAAATGTTGGGGTGGGTTGGTGCTTAGATAACGATGATCCTTTAGATGCTCGTATCCTCGGTGGCAGTAACTATGGCCAGTGTTCTTCAGCTTTACATGCGGAGGCTTTGGCTTGCATGTATGACCTTCAATGGGCGTTGGATCAACGGTTGAATTCCATCATAGTTTTTACTGATTCGTATAATCTCGTTACCCTTCTTCGGGGGGAGGGTTAAGGTAAGGTGGATTACCATTGGCTCATTCGGAAAATTAGACGGCTAGGCTCTTCCTTTCAGGGTTGCACTATCCATAAGGCGGATCGTCAGCGTGTTCATCGAGCTCATCAAATTGCAGGAGAAGCGGCGGTCAATTTTATTTTTTTTAGTATTAATATATAATCTGTTTGTATCCTTTGTCAAAAAAAAAAAAAAAAGAACACGAAGGTAATTTTGTTGTAATAAATCCATTTTTATGCATGGTGATTTGTTTGTAGTTTTGTACCCCCTTCGTGTTTTAATAAGGGTTACATTATGACCAAATATGCATGTCGAGACACGACTTTGACTATTAATTTATCTAATCATATATTAATAAAATGTTAGGAAAATTGATATTATGAAAAGAATACGTTATAACGAATCCAACAATGTATTACACAATTACATTTGTTTTTTTTATATGTAAGTAAGTTAATAAAGTCAAACCTATTAAGTGAATACTGAAAAAAATTAAACTGTAACACTTATTAAAACACGGAGGGAGTACTCTGCCTTCGAAATTAATCGGGCTCCTTTGATTTATTTGAAGCTACCTTCTCAAGTAAAACACGTTATAATCTACATTCGGGTTTGACTTTTGTTGTTGACTTTCTCTCCTCCTTGGCGATTTCTTTGGCGATTTGCTGAAGTCGGTTTTCTCACTCAGCTTAGTTGTTATGGCTCACCGGAAAAAGAAAGCAACACCTCTTCCTCAAACCCCACCATTTGGATCTTTAGCTCCTTCAGATCTTAACAAATTGAAGAACTCGAATGTGAATGTGAACCCTGACACTACTACAAAAATGCCCAAAGAGACCCGAAATAAGAGACCCGTTAATCAAATAACCGGTCTATGTGTTTCAAGAGACCCAACATTACAAACAACCGCTCTCATTGGTAGTATACTGAAAAAAAGAAAAAAAAAAGACCCTTTCTTAGAGATAACAAGTCTCTCTCAATTTTTTTGTTTTTAAATTAAAAAGGAGAGCCCGTGTTTTTACATAACCGGTCTCTCTATACTAGTATATATTTTGGAGAGACCTGTGGTGATGCTTAACCGGTCTCCCTTATTTCCATGAATAAAATATAACTAAACCCTAAAATCTTTCCCCCAAATTTTTATTCTTCAATCCGCCTCCTCTTCCTCTCTCTCTCCTCCTCTTACCTCAAATTCCTTATTCCTTCTTTTCGTGAACCATTTCATTCATATTTCAATTTAAATTCCTCCATTTCTTGTTTCAATTCATCTTTTCTTCATACTTTAAACCTAAATTTTTGATGTTTATCATTTTCATCAACCTCGGTACAATATAAATTCTTCCGCTTTCAATTCGTCTCCATAAACAAACAAATGAAGCTTCAGAAGTACCTTTAATGGGGTTCGAGCTTCTCTTTTTAATTTTCTGAGTCACGTTATAGAAAGAATGGACCGTCAAGGAAGATGATCTACCATTTGGTGGCTTCACGAACGACTCGCTTCAAATTTCGATGATATATAATTGTTTATCACTAAGAACAAGTTTTTATTTTTTTTAAAAGCTTCATTTTATTACCTCAATTGTTTTTTCATACCCTTAATTTTAATTTATTTTTTATTTTTGATCTCGCTAAAATGAAGTAAAAATTGTAGAGTTATGTGTAAAGGGAGGGTTAATTCTCATTTTGCAATATTATCAAACTATCTCAAGGCTTTAGTGGGTAAAGGGTTCATGTTATTGTTGTTAATGATTATTCAGTGTTGTGATTGTGAGTGGGTTGGTCAAGTTGCTCGATTTCTTGGTCTTAAGGTTGGCCTTGTTCAGCATATTGTTTTTGTTTTCATTTTATGTTCTTCAAATATCGTTTTCATAATTTGATTAAGATATATTCATCTAATTTCTTGTTTGCTTTTGGTTTTCAATTTCGATAATTTTAAAATAATTATTTATATCTAATTTTTATTTTCGTTTTTAGATTTTATAACATCTGTTTTATTATTTTTATACTTTATTTTTTATTTTTGCGTTTTTATTCTGATTTCGAAAAAATTATTTTCATTTTCATTTTCTTTTTTGATTTTTGTTTTAGATCTTACCGGTTAATTTTTTTTTTGGTTTATTTTTTACTATTTTATTTCGATTGCAAATTAAAATGGGTAATTTCTGATTTTTGTTTTGTTTGTTTGTTTTTTTTTTTCCTGTTTTTGCTTTTTTATTTCACAATTTATTTGTACATTTTATGTATTATGAATTCAATTTTATTTAACTCCGTATAGCTTCTATTTAGTGTAAATCTTTAATTTTTGTTGCTTGTGTTTAGTGGAAATCTAACCTTATTATTGTTTGTTCTCATTATAGGTTATCTATGAGCTAATGTTTAACGAAGATATGATATGAAGATGACGAGGATGGTAACGGATGATGATGAAGATAATCACTCCAATGAAACAAGTGGATGATAGTTCATTTTTAGTGTTAATTTTCTTTTTATAAGATTACAAATTAATACTTCCTTCGTTTCTATTTAGTTGACGCGTTTGATTTAGGCACATATATTAAGGAGAGGAGAGAGAATGAAAAGGCAAGTGGGGTACGTAGCTTGTAAATGCAAGGTAAAAAGTTTACCCCAAAAGGAAACGTATCAACTAAAAAAAACTTCCTAAATAGGAATACGTGTTAACTAAAAAGAAACGGGGGTAGTAGATTATAGTACCTAGATAAATTATCTAATACATACTATAAATTACGAAGTATCTAATATGTAAATACTTCGTATGTATATGTACTACAAACTAATAGATTATAGTACCGTAGATTGTATTATTTTTTTTCGAGCGAAATATGAAATTGTATATTTGTTTTCGTAATTTTTTTTTTAACTAGAATGTAGCAAGAGACCGCCTATCTAACATAATTAGTGTCTCTTGAACTCATAAAAGAGACTGATTTTGTAAGTTCACGGGCCTCAATTTTTAAAATGAGAGACCGCTTTTCTGATAAAAAGGGTCTTTTATGCTTTTACAATTTTAATACTTCAACCACCAAAAGAGACTGCTTTTCTAAGATAACGGGTCTCAAGTTTTGAAACTATAGACCGCCTCTGAAGAAGTAGTCTCTTAGTGTTAGAATCCAACCTCTTTCTTTTACTTGTATTTTCCATATGTCATGTCTTTTAAGTCTTTCTTTTTACTCGGACCATGATAGTTGGAATCAGAGCCAAGGTTGCCGCAGAGATGGCAGAAGAAGAGATGCATGAGTATACGCTGGAAGAACGACTTGCTTAGCTTGCAGTGGGATATGTCAATTAGAGAACTAGCAAAAGGTTGATACCGCCACAATGTATTTAGTGGATGATGCAAAGCTTTGGTGGCGCACCAAGTACGCCAAAATCCAAGCTAAGAGGACGTCGGTAGATACTTGGAAGGATCTAAAGAAAGAACTTATGGCCCAATTTTATCCCGAGAATATTGAGTTTGTTTCTCGCACCAAGCTCATGGTTCTGTAGCATAAGAGTTCCATTTGCAAGTATGTCAATGAGTTCTCTGCGTGCATGTTGGAGATCCACAACATGTCTGAGGAAGATCAATTATTCAATTTTGTGCGTGGTCTGAAGGATTAGGCCCAAAGAGAAATTTGGCGCCAGAAGGTTGATACTTTATCGAGAGCCATCGCCGCAGTTGAAAGACTGATGGACTACTCGTCAGAGAGAGGGAAAGCCGTGAAGAAAGGGAATAGTGGATCAACATCAAACCCCCCTAGAACTCGGAATATGGTTTGCAAGTAAGCTCCAACAACTCGAACAATAAATACAACAAGGGTGGGGGAGAAACCTCCCGGAAGAGTGAAGCTTCTTCCTTCTCGAGTAGAGGAAGCACCCCTAGTTCATCTTCGGCAGCCAGGTCATTAACGTGCATCCTTTGTCAAGGACTGTAGACCACTAAAAATGTCTCCAAAAATCAAACCCGATGATGAACAACCTTTCACCGCCACTATTAGTCGAGTTCAGGATTTAATCCCGAGAGTGCTTAAAAAATCGTATTTGATTAAATTCAATTTTTGAATGGTCCATGGATCAGTCTTAATGTTTGGTCAAAGCATAGTTTTAATTTCAGCCCAAACTTATTATTTAATTTTAGCCCAAACCTTTTTTATTTTATTGTTTTATTATTTATTTTTGGCCCAAACCTTTTATTTATTTTATTTGCTTATTTTCTTATTTTAGCCTAAATAATAATAAATCAGAAAAAGGCTCGAAATTATCAATCGGCACTTAAAATGCTGAACGAAATTAGGGTTTAAAATGTTATTAGACGGAAAAGCGGACTGCATATTCCCGCGCCACGGCAGACGGTCCACCGTGTCACGGGAAACTTTCCCGTCTGACGGTGGGATTTCCCGTGACACGTGAAACCTGATGTGACACGGGAATTTACGTGTCCTTTCCGCGTAAACCCTTAACGCGTTTTCTTCCCCGTTTACTAAATTTTTCCCGTGTCACACAAAATTTTCACCATGTCACGGGAAAGTTTCCCGTCTGACGGTAGGATTTCCCGTGTCACGGGATAGTTTGTCGTGTCGCGAGATACCTTTTTAGGGTTTTTATCATTTTAGGGTTCCGTGTGTTCCCTCAGCACATTTTTTCCATAAATACCACCTCATTTCTGATGTACGGGGCATGAATTAATTCTCTAGTTTTTTCTCTCTTCTATGCTCTTGGTTCCGTCCTTAAGCTAAGGCGTGAAAGGTAGAACTGTTTGAGGGGTTGGCCCCAAATCAACTCTACTTTATTTAGTTTAATTTCATTACTGTTTTATTATTATTTCGTTGAAGTTACTAACTTGTTTATTATTTTGTAGTTGCAAACAAACAGAATCAAAGTAAGAATTATGTTCTCTTATATCTATTATTTTTCTAACGATTTTATATTGTTGGAATTATTGCTAAATTGCTTCCAATATTGATGTTATTCTATTATATTTTTTAATTGATCACCATATTACATGTTTAAAGGAAATATGTAATTGAAAATCACGCCTAATAAGATAATTTGGACAACCGGTTTAGGTTCCTTTTTAATCTTATGATTAAATCAAGTGATCACAATATTTTAGAATTATTTGTTGCATTAATATTCAACCAATTTAGCCTAATAATAGTTTGGAGCAAATTGAATATTTTGTTTGTATGCCTTTGAGATCACATGACTCACTTTTCACTATAAGAATCGAGTAGAGGCCAATACGGGGCGAATGTGACTCCATGACTCATTTCGTACCATCATCCCCGATCCTCCTTTCGTGGTTCCAAACTATATGGAGTTAGTAATCTCATGGATTATGAATGGGGTGTAACCTTCAGGGGTCAATCGTTGTTGCCTATCGTTGTCCCTTATCGTGGTTGCCTTTTTATGATCCGTGAACAGTTTAGAAGTTCCTTAAAAAACTTGTTGGTGGCTCCCTACTTTATTTGTCCCTAATCGTATATGTCAATTCCCACTTCCTATGAGTGCCAAGCATATTCACACATGCTTTTAACGTAGGCGCACTTTGAACGACGCCTACAATTTGGCGACTCCACTAGGGAGGATTCTTAGTTATTTATCGATTTGAGTGATCGGTATTTAATTAAGATGAGTGGATGAGACTTGAAAGATTCTTGAATAATATTCCAGTGATGAATTTGGCATTTTTGCATAAGCATAGACGTTTAAACTTCGCGTTAGGTTTGTCCCGTAGGAGAAATTGAATAACTTGATTGCGTACGAAGGAAAATAGAGCGCTAGTCAGATTTTCTGATTGCCATGCCACGGCAGAATATTCCGTGTCACGGTACAGTGCACCATCTGACGGTGTGCAATACCGTGGCACGGGAACCTCTACCGTGTCACGGCAGTCCTAAAATCAGTCTGGTGGCTTGTTTTCTCTTCTCACAGTCAACTTGCTTCGATTTTTATGAAAAAACGTGTGTGTTCTACATACGTCTTAGCCCCGGGGGATTTAAGCTCTATCATCCCAAAAACGCTGATGGCAATAAGGATTCATCCGAGTTATTAAATCCACCCAAACCATGGAGTCGAGTTCGATTTCATCACGAACTCGCGGAGCCGCCTGTTGGTATACACCCTCAAGGGAGGCTGCCTTGCTAACGCGTCCAAACTCTTAACCATGGTACCCTATTGACACCAAATAAACTTGACCATTGTCGAACATAGAACTTGACCTTAGGTTGCGAACTATTCTTTGCATCATTGTGCCTACGTGTTTTATGTTTGGTCGTTTTGATGCTAACCTTAACGATCTTTCTTTGTCTATGGTGGATTATTTTATGACTAACAATTGCCAATGGACCGTACTCACTAAGTAATTAGCAAAAAAAAAATAAAAAATTAAAAAAGGGAAGGGTTGCCGCGACACAAGACGGTCCACCGTGTCACGGCACAGTCCACCGTGGCGCGGTGGACCTGCAGCAAAAAAAAGAAATAAAAACGACTGCCGCGCCACGAGTAACTCTTCCGTGTCACGGAAAATTTCCACCGTGACAGGGTGGATTTACAAACAAAAAAAAAAATCACGTGCCACGTCAGCATTCACCGTGGCACAGGAATGTGTACCGCGCCACGGTAAACTCTACCGTGTCATGGAAATTTCCACCATGACACAGTGGATTTCCAAAAAAAAAAAGAAAAAAAAAATTCCCGTGCGACGTCAGCATCCACCGTGGCACGGGAAAGTTCACTATGTCACGGCAATTTCCACCGTGGTACGGTGGATTTCCCAAAAAAAAAAAAAATAAACCCACCGCGTCACGGCAGTTTGTATCGTGACACGGTATAGTTTTCCGTGTCATGGTGCCCTTGAAATAAGTCCAGTCAAGTCTTTCGTGTTAATTTGGTCCTCGTGTTAGTCATTTTGGTTATTGTTCACATGTCTAGCCATACGATCACACCACGAGTCTTATCACATCACTTAGTCACTCACGAGTCAAGTATAGTCCACACACTTTCTTAATGTTATGACTCGAGTCGTGCACCAAGTCGTTTATGATCGTTTACTAGGTTCATGCACCCTTTTTTCATCATAATAAAAAATGAGTGGAGTTTTCTCACCTGTTTTCAAATGTCTATTTTTTTTCTTCCTTTCCTATCTTGAGCAATGAGTCAAAAATTAAGTGAATTATTTTATTTCACAGTACTTGGTCAAGGAATAGGGATAGATTAATACGGTTCGAGTCATTATCGCATCAATCTACCAGATCTAATAGGCGTTCAAAGAGAACTTTTCCATCTCCACATTACTTATCACCTTTCAATGGCCACTAAAGAAGATATTGAGAACATCAACAAATCCATCGAGGCACTGTCTGCCATGATGCAAACCCTTACCACTAGGGTCACTACCTTGGAACAAAACAAGGTCACTGAGTAAGATTTCTTAGGATTTCACTTATGTGGAACGGCCTCCCACTCCTTTGGATGTGAAGGACAGACTCCCTGAAAAGTTCTCCACTGCAGATATTCCAAAGTTCAAGCCTACTGACAATCCAATATTTCATTTGAAGGCGTTCTCTGCAACCATGGCTCTTGAGGGATTGGACGTAACACTCTTCCCTACGATGTTCCTTCTCTCCTTAGAGCATGCTTTGCCAACAATGGTTTTATTCCTTAGATGCCAAGCATACTGCGACTTGGCAAGATGTCACCGACATTTTCATGAATCTTTACAAGTGTAACATTGAAACTAAAACTTCTGAACGTGAACTCTCCATTCTCAAACGGAAAGAGAATGAGGGCTTCACCGCTTACCTGAACAGGTGGAGGGAAACAACATCACTGTTGGTAGATCCTCCCAAAGAAAA